ATTTAACTTATATGCAGAGTATATCATGCGAAATGCCAGGCTGGATGAAGCACAAGCTGGAATCAAGATTGCCGGGAGAAATATCAATAACCTCAGACATGCAGATGACACCACCCTTATGGCAGAAAATGAAGAGGAACTAAAGAGCCTCTTGATGAAAGTGAAAGAGGAGAGTGAAAAAGATGGCTTAAAGTTCAACATTCAAAAAACTAAGACCATGGTATCCGGTCTCATTACTTCATGGCAAATAGATGGGAAACAATGGAAACAGTGACAGACTTTATTTTCTTGGGCTCCAAAATCAGTGCAGATGGTGACTGAAGCCGTGAAATTAAAAGACATTTCTTCTCCTTGGAAGAAAAGCTATGAGCAAACTAGGCAACATATTAAAAAGCAGAGACATTACTTTGCCAACAAAGCTCCATCTAGTCAAGGCTATGGTTTTTTCCAGTAGTCATGTATGGATGTGAGTGTTGAACCATAAAGAAAGTTAAGCGCCAAAGAATTGATGCTTTTGAACTGTAGTGTTGGATAAGACTGTTGAAAGTTCCTTGGACAGCAAGGAGATGAAACCAGTCTATCCTAAAGGAAATCAGTCCTGAATATTCACTGGAAGGACTGATGCTGAAGCAGAAGCTCCAATACTTTGGCTGATGCAAAGAACTGACTCATTGGAAAAGACCCTGATGCTGGGAAAGACTGAAGGCAGGAGAAGGGGACGACAGAGGATGAGATGGTTGGATGTCATCACCAACTTGATGGACATGAGTTTGAGCAAGCTCCGCGAGTTGGTGATGGATAGGGAAGCCTAGTGTGCTGCAGTCCATGGGGTCACAAAGAGTTGGACATGACTGAGAGACTGAACTGAACTGAAACTGTGAGCTATGTGATGGCAGGGAGCGTGCTTTATGCAGGTCGTAATAGAACCTGAAACAAAACCAAGCACATAGTAAGTATTCAGTACATATTTGTCACAGTATAAGTGTCATTCCTTTGATTAGAGGCCAGTTCCTTCACATATTCCCTGGACCTTGGACCTTCTAGTCTTTGTAGGGACCATAAAATACTATAACCCTATGATCTCCTGCATCTTCAACTTCTCTGTTTCTAATAAGTTCTTCTTCCTAGTAGTATTAAAATATTTTCTATTGCTTCACATTGTAAAAACAAACATCTTCCTTTAAGCAACTTGTTCTCACCAAATCAATTTCCCTTTAGAACCATGTTTCTCCAAAACATTATCTACACACAGTGTCTTCTTTCCTTCACCTTTTATTCATTTCTGTATCTCACTCCAGTACGGCTTTTGCATTCATCACTCTATGAAACGTTCTTTTAGTGAGGTCATCAACGTCCTCCATGTTACCAGATGCAATGGACTCTTCTCCGTCCTCAGATTAGCCCTCCTCTCAGCAGCCTTCGGTATAGTTTACCAGGCTTTCTTCTTTATAACACTCCTTTCTCTCTACTTGCATGAGCCCACACACTTATGGTTTTCCTGCTACCTCTCTATATCATCCGCATCCTTATTCTTCCTCTGAAGTGAGAGTAAGCATGTTAGTCACTCAGTGTGCCTGACTCTTGGTGGCCCCATGAACTGTAGCCCGCCAGGCTCCTCTGTCCATGGGATTCTCCAGGCAAGAATACTGGAGTGGGTGGCCATTCTCTTCTCTAGGGGATCTTCCCAATCCAGAGATCAAACCCAAATCTCCCACACTGCAGGCAGATTCTCTATCATCTGAGCCATGACCATTAAATGATGGAATTCACAAGGCCCTGTTCTTGGCTCTTTTCTCTTCTTTCTCTAAACTGTTTCTCTACATGATTTACCCCATTACCATGATTTTAACTACTATCTACATGCTGACAGCTTCTAAATTCACATTTCTTGCCCAGATATCTCTTCTGAGTTCCAGAATCATGTATTTACTACTTACTTAACATCCACTGCTATATCAGTATATTCTCACACGTTTCTCTTCAAACCTAGTCCTGTTCAGGGTTCTTTCATCCCAGTGAGTGGCACAAGCACATATTCAATTCACAAACCAGTAACCTAAAAGTTATTTTTGATTCCTCATCAAACTCTACAAATTCTACCTTTGAATATATTGAGTTCAATTCATTTTTCCCCATCTCTGCCACTTCTCTTCTAGCCCTTACCACCATTGTCTCTCACTGGTAACATTGTAACGGTGTCCTAATTGGTTTTTCAATGTCTATTAGCCCTCCAGTTCCATTAAAAGTCATTTTCCATATAGCAGCCAGAGTGATCTTAAAACATAAGATGAATCCTGTCACTCTACTAAAAATGATTCAAGGAGTTCTAATCTCAGTTACAATGAAATGAAGTGAGGCCTTGGATTATCTGATTACTGCTGATTTTTCCAGACCCATCTATGATGTTCTCCCCTTTGATCACTACGTTGTAACTACACTAGCCTATTTTCTGTTCCCCAAACACTCTAAAGTCTTTACTACAGGACCCTGCTGCTAGCTAGTCCCTCTGTTGAAATCCTCCCCTGCTTCATCAGAGAAATTGTCATATCTCCCACACAATTCAAATTATGTATGCTTGTTATATGCCTTCCTAGCAGCCTGTGTTTTTCCCTTATGGCATTTATCACAGTATTAAATTATGGAGAATCGTCAGTATAAGGGTAGTACTTGAAGTCAATGAAATAATAATAATCTAGTAAGTAAGGAAGACATATAACCATTCAAATATTCTTTCAACCAGTAGTCATTGTCTAGCTCCTACGTCAATAGGAGCTATGCCTATAGCTCTAGGCCCTGAAAATGTAGTGGTAACACACCAGATAATGTGATTACTGGTTAAACGTAGGTCCACAATGAATCCCCTGGGGATGCTGGAAAGTCTCACTTTACCTAATGTGTCGGATGGGAAAAACAATCAGGTAAGATTACCTGGTAAGGATTATGATGAATCCAAGTATTAAAATCAATGGGACATCGACCAGGTGAAAAACAAGTATGGGCAGGAATTTTCAGACAAAAGGCAAGAGTAAGGATGCACCTGTGTGATATGGGTAAATTATGAAATGGAACTTGGAGGGAAATGAGATTGGGGAAGGAAGCAGGAACAGGGTCATAGAAGACTTGAATCTCATGCCGAGGAGCTTGGATTTGATCATGTGAAGACAAATATCAAGTGTCTACTGTGTGAAGTGTACTATGCTGGATACTTGAGAGTGCAGCTGGAAATGACCTTCTATCTCTGTCCTTAAAGGGTTCATTATCTCACTGGAAAGATAAGGCATGTACACAGAACTATGAAGAGCAGTGCATGCTTACTTGTCAAATAAAGGGGAATAGAGTACTTCTGAGGGGGGAGAAATTACATGAGCAAAACAGCAGGAAGAGTCCTGAAAGAAGGTAGTGATTGAATTGGGTCTTAAAGGAAAAAAAGGGGTATAGTTAACTAAGTAAGGGACTTTCTGAACATTTGTGTTTGTTCATATGTTATACTGAAAGCTTTGTTAGGTCTTTATGTTGTTTCAAACTAATTATAAAATTATTCTTTAAGGTAAATAAAAATATTGTGACTTTATGTGCAGAGATTCTCTTTATAGAAAGTGCTTTCAAAACTACAGTCTATAAACAATGTAAAAAATATCAGTTCTGAGTAATTTGAATACCAAGGCCATCAGACTATGATATCTGTGAGGTCAGAAGCTGTATCTACATTGTTCACTATTCTATTCCTAGCACCTAGCACAATGCCTGGATAATATTAGTCTCAATGCATATTTTTGATTGCTTCCTTTAGCAGAGTCTTTTTGCTTCCCTTCTCTCTTCAAATGTAGCTTGAATATGTCAGTTGATGTTTGGTAGCTGGTAGCTGATACAAAAATAAGGAACAAAGCACAAGTGAGGCCATCAAGGGTAACTTAGGTACACAGCAGAAGGCAGATCTGGGAGGGGTGCATAAAGAAAGAAAGAAAACACAATGAGTAGCTGTGAATGCTAAAGAAAATTCAACTTAAAAAAGAGTGCCTTGAGGCAATCTACGTGTCTAACAAATTGCTGTAAGTGCTTAATGCACATTCCTCCAAAACTATTCTTCTAGTGTGTTTCTGTATATTTTATTAGATTCTGCTTTCATCTTTCTTAGTCCTAGGCCAAATATGGGTGCAGTATTACTATTAGCCATTTACCACAGTCAGCCTCACCACCAGAATTCTAGCCTGAGTGCTGAGCAAATAAATATGCTCTCTTCATTTAGGGAACTCTCAGTTCCTCCTGGGGTAGCACAGTTATCATTCTTCCTCCAACCCCGAGGTCTCCCAGTCTAATTTATAACACGCACACACACATGCATACACACAGAGAGAAGAAACTGAACATAACTAAAGCATATCTGCCAATCCTTACCTCCAGGATTGAGCTTTTGAGGGGATTGTATGCAGCATTATTTATTGTCTACCCCAGAATGGCTCCCCTCCCACCAACTAGGAAGTACTCCTCGCATTTCACAGTATCAGTTCACTCAAGGAAAACTAGATCACCTCGAGGTTGTTCAGTCACTAAGTTGTGTCTGACTCTTTGCAACCCTATGGACTGTAGCATGTCAGGCTCCTCTGTCCTTCAGTATCTCCTGGAGTGTACTCAAATTCATGTCTCTTGAGTCAGTGATGCTATCTAACCATCTCATCCCCTGCCGCCCCCTTCTCCTTTTGCCTTCAATCTTTCCCAGCATCAGGGGCTTTTCCTAATGAGTCAGCTATTCACATCAGCTTCGACAACAGTCCTTCTGATGAATATTCAGAGTTGATTTCATTTAGGATTGACTGGTTTGATTTCTCTTCAGGGCAACCAAGACAAATATACTAACTTTTCCCCCAAATCAACTAAATAGATGATTCAGAGATTAATCAATATTTCAGGTTGTAAAGATTATCATCTATCCTATGTTTTCCTAATCAGACCTTCAGACTGCCATAATTTTTGTTGATTGACTGGAGCTGATCATTGTAGGATCAAACCCTCAGCTTCCTCAGGGACTCCTTGACATCTTTGTTTTTGAGGCTATAGATAAGGGGGTTACACACAGGAGTGACAACAGTATAGAGCAAGGAGACAGTTTTGTTGAGAATTGGCACCTGGCCAGCAAAGGGCAGGGCATAGACTAGGATCAAGGTCCCATAAAACAAGGTCACAACCACTAGATGAGAGGAACAAGTGGAGAAGGCCTTCTGCCTACCAGTCATGGAAGGTATATGCAAGACTGTGAAGAGAATCTTCCAGTAGGAGGCTAAGGTTAGTCCAAATGGGGCTAGAGTCACCAGTGTTGTTAGACTCATGCAGACCAGGTTGACTAGCTGGGGATCTGAGCAAGAGAGCTTCTGCAGAGGCTTTAAGTCACAGAAGAAGTGGTCAATCTCATTGCCATCACAGAAGGTCAAGCTGGATACCATAGCAGCCTGGAATGCAGCTGCCACTGTGAAGCCGCTAACCCATGAGCCAATTACTAGCCTCAAACATATAGTTCCTTGCATTAGTGTTGGATAGTGCAAAGGCCGGCAGACAGCCAGGTATCGGTCATATGACATCACTGCCAGAAGATAACATTCAGTGCTACCCAGAGCCCCAAAGAAGTAGAGCTGAATAATACAACCTACCACGGAGATCACTCTGTTCTCTCTCAACAAGTCCACAAGCAATCTGGGCATGATATTGGATGTATAACAGACCTCTAGGCATGAGAGGTTTGCCAGAAAGAAGTACATTGGTGTCCGCAGACTCTGCTGCGTGCTCACCAGGATCATGATGAGGAGATTCCCAGAAATGGTGGCTAGGTAGACAATGGCAAACACCAAGAAGAGCAAGGGAGCCAATCCTCTGAGGTCTCCAAACCCCAGTATTATAAACTCAGTCACCATTATAGTGGTGTTTCCTGGCTCCACAGAAGTCATAAGTTCCTGGGGATGTATCAGTTTCTTCATACTATTACGTCAGATTACCAACGAGATCTCCTACATAGTACAATTCTATCAGTGGTTGGAGGTCTGCACTGATTAGGGCATTTGGCGGGGATTGGCCTTCAATTGTAGCCAGTTAAATTTGTCCTCAGAAAAACTTTTATGGAAATTAGCTGAACTTGTCATCTAGTCAGGGTGTGGAATAGGTATGAGGAGACCAAATGGAGGAAGGAATGGCTCAGTGAGAATCTATCTCCATCCCTCAGGAAACATGTTTAGTCCATGCTTGGCATGCTCTGTGCCATTTTGGGTAGAAGAAATTCCCAAGGAAAGTTCTTATAAATGTTGACAAAAAAGAAATGGCAGACCAGATAGCAAATCATATTCATGATCTTCTTTATCACAGCAGGAAATAGAAACTGAAATGTCAGGACTGAAGCAAAGAATCACTCCATTGATGTCACTGGCCATCCATGCTTGCTTGGTAGTGACAGCTCTGAGACAGCATAACAGTAGTTGCTGGAGAGATAGTAGATTCTGGAAAACCAGGTGTGCATCCTAAAACAGAATACAGATTTTTTTGTTGTTTTTAAATTTTTCCCCATAAGCAGCTGGACTTTAGGCTTCTGGGGAGAAAACCTAAGAGCTGACATTTGAAGCTGGGGGTCAGACTCATGTGTACATGCCTGAACACAAAAACAGGTATAGACACATACATCTGGATCTACACAGTCAAGTGTAGATAGTCATATGTGCTACCATCTTTGCCATCACTTTTGAAATTTGTTTTTCCAAGAATAGTGTTCTAGAAGTGAAACACTTGCTACATGGGATGTTGCCTGCACATCAAAAATGCTGACATGAGGGAAGTAGTGGCCATTGATAAGATCACAAGGTCCAAATAACCAGGCTTTTCATATACATCATCAGCAGTGGAAAAGAATGTAGTGTGTTTTCTCATTTAACTTTTCTAATGGTTTTTGTGAGGCAATGTAGTATAATTATTAAACACTTGAACTCCTCTGCCACACTGCCCAGAATCAACTCCCAGCCTCTCTATTTATTAACTATGTGACCTTGGGTAAGTTACTGAATAATACAACCTACCATGGAGATCACTCTGTTCTCTCTCAACAAGTCCATGAGCAATCTGGGCATGATATTGGATGTATAACAGACCTCTAGGCATGAGAGTTTTCAGCTGAAAAAATTATCATTGTATTTTCTTACAGTGTTGTTTTGAGGAGTAAGTACACTTAAAGTAATTGAAATAATGCCTGACACACAGTTAGCACTAAATAAACATTAAAGATTTTTCTTTACAAAATAAAAATTTTCTTAATGCTGAAAAAAAATTTTTTAAGCCCCACAGAAGCATTAACTAACATCATTAATCGCTATACTTGAATAAGAAGATGCAATATAAATGCACATGAGAAAAATTGTACATCTCTCATTACTTCTTTTGGGTTTCCGAGGTGGCGCTAGTGGTAAAGAATCCACCTGCCAATGAAGGTGACACAGGTTCAATCCCTGGGATGGGGAGATCTCCTGGAAAAGAAAATGGCAACTCACTTCAGTATTCTTGCCTGGAGAATCCCATGAACAGAGGAACCTGGCGGACTAGAGCCCATAGGGTCAGAAAAAGTCAGACACGACTGAGCAACTGAGTACATTACTTCTTTATCGTTACTTATTATCGCTTAATTTCAGTTTTGTGTGACTCCAAATTCATGATCTTTCCATGACACAAACTGACTCAGTGCCTGTTTTATTTACATGTACATGTTCACCTTTGTTTATATGCAAAGAACTTTCAGAATTCTGTCTAAAGGATTAAAGGCAGACTTACAATCATGTACCTTTAAGCCAGCCTTCTTCCTGTATGTCTACTTTGCACCAGATACCCACCATACACAAGCCATAGGCAATCACACTCTTCTTCAATTCCTTCCCAGCTTGTGACCCTTGCTTCTGCCTCCTTTGAGAAGGAACGTGGGGTTTTTATTGGGTATTCTCAGCAGACTCCCACCTCTTTCTCAAGGGCTATGGCTCAGATTCATTCTCCCTGGTTTCCCCAATATTGAGACCATCCTTAACCAGTTCTTTAGAAAATGAATCCCTACCCCAACTTTGTGACTGCCTTTCTTTCTTTTCTGACTTATTTTTTATTTATAGCACCTATCATCTCTAATATACATTTTACTTAATTTCCTTCTAATTATCTCTTTTATTATAGTTTTCACAAGAGCATAGATTTCCTCTCTTACTCACTACTCAATCCCCAGAACCTAGAACATGGCCTGACACAAAGTAGACACAATAAATATCTGCTAAATGAATTAATGAGGTGGTATTATGGAGTGAACATTTTTGCCTTTGGAGCCAAACAGAGCCATTTTCAGATCTTAACTCAGCCACTTCATCAGTATGTCACATTTGGCCATTCATATGAACTCTATGAGCTTTTCTTTCTTCATGTGTTAAATACAAATTTAATAGAGCCTGTTGGGGTCCCCAAATAGCCATTCTCTCCTTCTTCTAGAGCAGGGGTTGGCAAAATTTTTCTTAAAGGCCAGAGATTTTAGGCTTTGCAGCCCATCCAGTCTTTGTCAAAACTATTGAGCAATGCTATTGTAGCGAGAAAGCAACATAGATAATATCAATACATACATAAATGGGAGTGACTGTGTTCCAATAAAACTTCATTTACCAAAAAAATAGTCTTTGAACCTCAGGCTCAAGTGCCAATCCCTGTTGTTGAATACTTAGCTGCCTGGCTAAAATCCACATTTCTTTTGCAGCTGGATCAGGCCAACTGGATATGAATGGAATGATGTATATAATTTTTAGATTGTGCTCTTAAAGGAAAAGTACATATCTTCACCCTCCCCTTTTTACTCTTTCCACTGGCTGGAATACAGACCTAAGAGCAAAATCAGCAGGTGCCATCTGGGACTGAGATAGAAATTGGGTATTGAAAATAACACAGCAACAACACAGAAGCAGCCTGAACCCTCAGCGTGGTGAGCTAGAGTAATCCTCAACAGCCTACATGGCCCTTTTGTGGAGATAAACACATTTCTATTTTGTCTAAGTCGCCAAAAGCTTTAGTCATTTGTTACAACAGCTTAACCTGTACCCTAGCAAATGATTATAGCTATCAGTTGGGTTATTGTGATTATTCAACACGATAGTCCATATAAAACACTTAGAACAGTGGTTGGCAAAGAGTAAATGGCAGCTATCATGCTTTCTGTTGTTAGTGACTTCATTCCTCATGTCCATTCTCTCCCTTCTCTGGCATCTTTAAATACCTTATCCTAACCTAATTTTGGTTCCCTTGAGACCCAATGCCTGGTCAGGCCCAACAACCTTTGATATGGATTTTAAAATTTCCTGTTTCCATGGGCTCAAAAACTCCCCACTTGTGCAGGAAGGGAATTTAAACACAAACAACCAGATTTTGCCCTTTTCCTAAAAACAGCACAAACAACACATTTGGCTGATTTGGGCCTGGTTCATATTCCTAACAAGCTAAATAATCAGTCTTCATACTGGGGTACACAGAACCCAAGATCAATGGTACTTAAGTGGGGGAGGTTTTGCACACATTCCCCACTAGACTTTTGGTAATATCTGCAGACATCTCTGGTTGTCAAAATTGGAGAGGGCTGTTTAGTGGTTAGAGGCCAGGAGTGCTCCTAATCACCTTATAATGCACAGACAGCCTCTTACAAAAAAAGAATTATCTCACCCCAAATGTTAATGGTGCTGCTCTTGAGGAACCCTACCAGAGAGGTGCATGACTTCCCAAAGAGGTATGCAGAGAGGGAGTTTAAGAAAATTAATTTCCAATGTATATGTGGACTATTCTCTAAAACTGATCTAATGTGAATGTGCCTGAGGTTGAAGAATTATTCTGGTCTTCTTTTCTCACCTGCCTTTTCACAATTACCCTTCTCCCTCTTTAGGAGAAAGGTCTACTCATTAGGCATCTTGAATCTTTCCATTGTTGCAGTCACTTTCTTCTGTGAGTTCCCAGAATACAGCAGAGCTGAGTGGATAACATCTTGAAAGTTAGAGCATAGTCCAGGTTCTAATTAAATTCTCTGTTACTCACTCTGTGACTTACTTGCTTGTTTATTTTAACACTTTGCAGGGTTCTGGTAATGGGGCTTTTTTATTAGTTTAAATTTTCATGGTTCATGTATATTTTGTTGAATGTATAATAGGATGATCAAGAGAAGACTTTCAAGTACAAAAATATCACATTAGAATAAATTTCAGTGGGGAAAGTGACTGGAAATGTGAGCTCAAGAAGAAAAGGTAAAGATGTTAAGTGCCTGACTGTTAGAGAACTTGTCCATCTATATTTTACTGGGTGAAAATGGACATCAAAATACCACAGTATTTAGAATCCATTGAAAAAGTTAAAAGAATGAGGCAAGAGTTTAATTTTTAATTGCCAGTATTTACAAGGTGACAGAAATTATATAGTGGTTGTATCCATTTGAACTCACAATGAAAAGCTTCTAGATGTCAATTTGAAAATGTGTAAGGGGGCAGAGTACAGTACAAAGTTTAAAGAGCTAGGTTCCTGCTGAATCCCATCTGCGTCCTTTCTTGCTTGATGAAAAAACAGAAAGAGGAAAAAAACCAGTCACATAGAGATGTGATTAAAATGCAGCAGCAAGTCCTGCTGTACAAGACTGGTTTTCTCCGGTCCCCACTCACCCTGCCAGCTAGCTTCCAAGTGTTTTTTTCTCCTGTTCAAGAAGTTCTTCATGCTCCCCCAGCCTTTCTTTCAAACCAATACCTATTTTTTTCCCTTTTTATCAAATAATGACTCTCTTAGTCATCGCTGCAGGTCTCCTGGACTCTTACAACCTGCCTATGACTCAACATGCTTTTAGCGAGTGGGCCTCTAGGTACAATCCACAATTATCAGACAGAACTTTGAAAAACACATTAACAGAAAAGGAAAAGTTTTAAACAGTGGTGTAAGGTGGTCCTCAAACACA